CGTGGACAATTTTACACATGGGTGTTGCATTACATATTGCTCTTTAATTGCAAGCCTAGGGACAGATAGTGGGGTTTGCTTTCTTTTGTTTGTTAGTAAACAAACTCTAAATAATTTTGCTTCCTATTTTTACCTTTTTGGTTTGAGTACAGTAGGTGTTTGCATATAATTGCAGATTAATTTCTCAAAAAAACCCCAAAACCTCTGAGGTCTAGCAGTGGTATTATTCCCTACCAATATGGAAGTTGTAGTTGACAAAATACAATTATTGTTCACCGTGAAATTGGTGTTACTAACTCACTAGAATTGCATCCTAAATGTGTAATTAGAAAAAAAAAAAAATTCAGTACTTGTTCATACAGTGTGTCTCTGTGAGAAATTTTGCTTGAATTTATAGATAATGGCTGTCTTAATTATAACTAAGATATTAGTTGTTTAGAAATGACACCTGAATTTCTAACCTTGTTTCTGTAATACTTGGAGCTGTTGAGTAGCGTAAAGTTTAGTGTAGCCCTGAAGGAGGAGTTAAGTTCATAATGGAAATGGTTTAGTAAATGGACATCGTATACAAGCAATATGGTTTAAAGTAAAATCTTTGTTCTCCAGAGGTAGTTAACTAAAGATTTATTGTCTCCGTAGCCACATTTAAGGTAAAAACATGAAGGAACCTCTCTTGACTTTTGTGCTTTCTAGAGCATGAAGAGGATTTGACATATTTCAGACCTGTCCTAATCAGTTACTTCATAGAAATATTTTACTTCGTTTCAGACCAGTTCTTTTCCTTATGTCACTTTTCAAGGACTGTGAAAGTTTTTCTTTAGTACTAGAAAAATAAGTACAAGTTTCATTTATAAGCTGGCTGCAAAAGCTGATATTTTCCTCATTCAAGCAATACCTAGAACGGCTCTCCATCAGAAACTTTTTCTGTCAGAAGTTTTTTGCTTTTTAACCTCCATTTATGATATTACAGTTACTAAAGAGTGCATTATATCGAAATGACTTTCAGAGAAATTAGCCCATCAATGCAGTGGGCTATTTATTAGCTTTATCTGTGCTTGGGCCTTTCTGTAAGCAGATTTTTTTTTAATAGAAAATGGATTTGTGGTCTGTCATTACTGTGAAAAAATACAGGTTTCTCTTGTTTCATGAACTAGCCTTGCGAGACTAAATGATGGAAACTCAGGTATTATTTTGAAAAAAAAGTATTTTCTGTAATAGTGATTTCTGTAGTAAATCTGCTTCTTATTTATATCAGTCAGTGGTAAGTGAGCTCAGCAGAGCTGAGGATGTTCTCAAGAGGAGGAAAATAAAACGAAACACAAAAGCAAATCAAGAAGGAACAGAAAAACATATTAAATATTGGTTTTGGAGTACCTTATGATTCTGTAATTATTAGACTATCTTTTAAGTGTACTGAATAAATGTGACATACAGTAGTTAGACTGTTTCTGAGTTCTGAAAAGTGGTATGGAGGTGTTCCAAAAAGCACATTATTTAGATTTTCTATGGTAAAGACAAGGGATTTCTGAAGCTATGAATTCGGAAAATAATTGGGTTTGTCTTTTTTTTTTCTTCTGCTTCTTTGTTCCCCTCTTTCTCTTTGCTCTGTAGAACCTAAATAAACTCAGCTTGCCAAATGAGATTATCTTTCTGAATTAAATCTCCATGGAGAGTGGTATTCTTAGTGCAAATGGCTCATAAATAACCATTCTCTAATTAGAGTGAAATAACTCAGAGTTGCTGGAATGTTCCTTTCAAGGTACACTTTGTATGAACTCTGCTGTGGGTTCACGTACATCCTACACAT